AAAGGGTGACCCCAGAGCCTCCTGTGAAGGTTGAGGAAGCACTCAAAAAAGAACAATGATGGGGACATGACAGGAACACTGGGTGCAGCCTGGAAGAGCCGTGGCTAAAGGTGAGACACTTTGAACAAGACGTCAGTAATACAGTGTTAGATTGTGACCCAGGGTGGAAGATAAGCACACACAAAACCATACTGCTCAACGTCGTGGAGGGGCAAGACACTCTTTCTTAACTCTGGTGTCTCCTCAGAAATCCCACAGCCCAGTCTAGTCAGCAGATGAACCTAAAATGAAGAATCATCTGCGGAATATCCAGTTATTGTTCTCCAGACTTAATGGAAGTCAAGAGTAAGAGCAGTGAAAGTCAGAAGTGTAGGGAGCCTTAAAAACTGAATGAAACAGAGAAGGCACATTTGTGGGCATCGAGTTACACTCAGATTCAGGTCTGTGGTTAACAGTAGGGCCACAGTGATGTTAGTTTTTTCATCGTAGCAAGGTGTTAAATGAGATGTTAGTATTAGGCATTACCCGCTTATGGGGGCTGTGCTCTTTGCCACACATATATAAGATTCATTTAAAGCATAAATATATATTTAAAGACCCCATAGCTTTGGCTTGGGGAGAAGACGCCAGCATGATGGTAGCTCACACTTAGAAGTCTCCTCACTTAGACCTCACGTGTTGGTTTATTTAATCCAGGCAGGATAGACGTTGGTGTTCGTACTTTACAGATGAGAGAAACGAGGCATCAGGAGGGTCACGCTGTAGCTGGGCCCAGCCAAGGGCTCTGTTCTCTTCCTGTGTTTCTTCCACTCTGTCCCTGCTGCCCGGTTGAAGAATGCTGCCTTTACGAAAAGGGGGTTTAGGTAAAATAATGGTCCTCGTGAGAGCTTGCGTGAGTCAGAACCCGGGATTATTTACCTTGTGGCTGGGCTGCAGGCACATGTGTGCACCTGTTCTGTGGGGAGGAGATGGCTAAGTTTCTTATCCTGAAGCCATGCAAGTAAATAGACCAATTTAGAGACTTGCAAGGGCAGAGACAAACACCTGGGAGTACATCTCACCTGGAATAGAAACTGGTAAGAGGCGGGGCTGGAGAGATGGCTCAGTGGTTAAGAGCAGTGGCTGTTCTTCGTGAGGACCCGGGGTCTACTCCTAGCACCCACATGGCAGCTCACAACTGTCTGTAACTCCAGTTCCAGGGGATCTGGTATCCTTACACCAATGCACATAGCACATAAAGTTAAATAAAGCATTAAAAAAAAAGAAGAAGAAGAAACTGGTAGGAAAACAGTGTAGTTAGTGCTTGGCTGGTGCAGGGAGCAGTGTAGGGGTGGGGTGGGGTGGGGTGGGGTGGGGCAGGATCTCACTTGGCTCTGCACTTGGAGGAAAGTGTAGGTCCCAGTTCTGTCAACAGAGCTGCTGTGGATAGGGCCAGGCAGAGTTTGCCCGAAGCTGCGCTGGGGAGGAATCTGCTTCTGTCAGATGGTCATCCAGGCACGGGATGGAAAAGAAAAGGGTGTTCTTTCTTTCTCACTGGAAGCAAACTAGGGCTTAAGCCAGGTCCCAGCTAGCATCCCCGGCACCCTCTGTCAGAACCGCTGGACCTCACCCAGACCTGTGGGGTCAGAAACTCTAACAACAGAGCTGAGCAGTCTCTCACACCCTCCTCAAAAGATCTACTGGTGTCAAAGTCCGTTTTCTGTGGAGATAGTAAAATTTATGCCTCCTTGGTCCCCATGGTGTACTGACTAAGATACCAGGATCCGAGACTGATCATGTCTCTTACATGAAGAGTTTGCACAGAGGCTATGCTCGTCTTCTCATGTATTTAACTAATCACGGTTATTTACCGTGTCTAGTTCAAGGTAAACGCTATGTCAGTAATTGTGCCGTATTAGGGAATGACAACAGGAAATCTGTACATGTTTGGTGTGAATGGTTTGGTGGGTTGGGGTGTAGTGGTCAGAAACACAAGGCAAGTACCGTATCACTAGGTACAGCCCAAGTATTGTGATGGTTTTTTGTTTTGTTTTGTTTTTTTGTTTTCATTTTTGTTTTTGTTTTCCCCTTACAGGGTCTCACTGTGTAGCTCTGGCTGGCCTGGAGCTTGCTATATAGACCAGGCTAGCCTTGAATTCCCACAGATGTACATGGCTCAGCCTCCTGATTTGTAGGATTAAAGGCACGGACCACCATGCCCAGCCCTCAGGCATTTTACATTTTGAAACTGTGTTGATAAGTTACGCAGACTAGCTCTGAACTCTCCATCCTCTCCCCTCACCCTCCTAGGTTGCTGTGATTATAGGTCTGGGCTTTCTGTGTTGTTCCATGCGTGGAAGCCGGAGGTTGGCAGTGGGTATCATCCTCTTGCACTCTTCGCCTTTATTTCTCTCTCACTCAGGACCAGGAGCCTGGTGGACTCAGCTGGTCCATATTACCCCAGAGATCCCATCTCTACCTCCCAGTGCTGGGATCACAGACCAGTTATCAGATCTGTGCCAACCTTACTTCCTGGAGATCTCAAGTTCACATCGCAGGTTTGCATGGCAAGTGCTTTGTGGACTGGGCCGTCTCCCTGGTCCCCTCCACCTTCATGAAAGAATATTTCCTATCTTTCAGTTGAGCCCGTGGATACAGTGGATGCAGACACAGAGGCAGCTCTGGCTGAGACTGGCTGATTAATAAGAAGTGTCTATGTTTATCTGCCTCATGATTCAGAGGCCGGGCGTCTTCATGCAGTGTTCCTTGGAGAAGTGTGTTAACATAGAAGTGTCCAGTGCATAGCAACGGGGCAACCCCGTTCCTGGAGCTCAGAAGCGAGTGTAGTAGCTGTAGTGTTTGTCAGGAGAGTCTGCTTCTGTAGTACCTGGACCTGGTCGGAGGAATGAGCAGGTGACCACTCCAGCTGTGCCCACAGGGAGTGAGTGGGTGGCTGTCTCAGGATGGGTGTGACCAGGTCTCGGGGCATTCAGTGCCCCTGTGACTTTGCCTCATGAGGGGTGATCATCTTGGCTGCTGGGTTCACAGTGCCTGGGAAAAGTGCAGGAATACGGAGGAGCAACCGGAGCTGTGCAGGGTTAGCATTAAGCCACATCCCTTCAGTGGGGTGAGTTAGCCTCATGCAGGTCCAGAGGTAAATGGAGGTCAGGCTGAGCACTGCACTGCGGGGAGGAAGCCGGAGCCTCTGCAGTGTCCCCAGAAGGATGGTGACCTGAGCCAGGGTTGAGTTCTGTTTTTAACTGGCTTCTGATGGAGGGACCTGTTTCCTGCAGAGTTTAGGTTCCTGGGAAGGGGTGTGGAATCTGCTCAAGGCTCCTCTGGTCACTCCATCTCTTGCCTCCATCCTGAGGTTTCCCTGCATAACGTTTGGGTAAAATCAGTGCCTACACAGAGGAGAGGGTCTCACCCGAGTGAGCAGCGCTTGTTTCTGCTAATGGTATTTGTGGCGACAACATCGGGACTTGTAAAGAGGTTTTGGTTTAATAAAGTAAAATAAATTTGATGGCAAGTTGATATTTAAATTTTCCAGGAAGGAAGTCTGTTTTTCAGGGCGCTTCAAACCTGTGCTCAGTCTTTCTGTAATGTTTCCTTCCTGGGGACTTTGAGGGGCCGGAGTGGGGAGTCGTAGTTGTGTGTCCCTGTCTGCAAGGTGAAGCGTCGGTGTCTGCCTGAGTGCTGGTGAAGTGGTACTGTCCTAAGTGTGTTGCCTCTGCCTTTCGTTCCTGTTTGTGTGTAGACTGCCCCGCTCACCACTCTGGAGACACTGGTGGGGTAGCAGGGAACACTGGCAGATCCACCCTTTCCAAGCTTGTCTTTGTTCCGTCACTCAGATGATGTGTTGTGAACAGACCTGTGCCTTTCGCACTTTGGGGAGAAACGTGCTGATAGCGAGCACACTCTTATAGGGAGGGCATAGTGTGTTCTGAGCATGGACATGTGTGAATTGGTGCGATTCCCACAGTAACTTCCCACCGAAGAGGCGAGACTTGGCGGTATAGTAGGTACGTCCTAGCTGTGCAGTTAGTCCCAGCACAGCAGGGTTCCGAACAGTCCGAGCAGCCCGCCTCTCCGCTTACCCCCTCTTCTCTGCGTCCCACCCTTCCACCACTCCTTGAGTGTCTTGCCTCAGGGCCTTTGCATTTACCCCCTTGCACGGTCTCACCCCTTCGCACCTGGTGGCGTATCTGGTTTTCCTCTTCACACTGGCCAGGGTTAAGGGTTGCCTTTCCTAACTTATCTCAGTTCTGTGCCCACCCACTGATCCTGGTCACTCTCTAGCTGCCCTGTTTTTCACATTCTGATTGGGCTCTGGCAGAAAGACACCCTTCCTGCCCTCCCCACTGTTAAGCCCCTGGCACCATGCTTCATGACAATCTGTGGCATCAATGTAGGCGCTGATGACTTTAAAATGGTCTGGGCTCCTCTCATTCCTGTGACATATCCTGATTCTTCCTGTGTGTGTGCTTGCACGCACACAGGTGGGGGGTGCAGACGTGCTGTCCGGCCTTCACTCAGCAGTGTAGAATCATGCCTTCTGAATTGCAGTCCCGGCTCTGGAGGCGATGGCTGCTTCTGGCTGAGACTGTTAAGATTGTAAGAGAACTTACCTTATAGTTACACCAACCCTACTTCTTTCTCACTAGCTCATCATACCTGGGTGGGGAGGGGGTGTCTATCAGATCTCCTCAAGGTTTTGGTGGAGAGTCCCACAAAGAAATAGAGAAGCAAGAACCCAAAAGTGAGGTTTTCGACACAAAAGGGATTTTTCTGGTGCTTCCTCTAGGATCCAGGGGCTGCTGTGAACGTTACGTTCTGGTGTTCGGGAAACAGCCTGTGTGCTGTGCTGGGGACACTGGCCTGCTGTGGTCCCTCCTTTGGCAGAGTTACTGACAGACAGGTTTTTGGACGCCAGACTCGGAAGCTGGCATAGGCCACTGGTCAAATGTTTTTCACCTAGAATGCAGCCTCGCCCCTGCTCTGCCCTAGATAACCAGTTCAGGATGTCCATTCTGGAGCGGCTGGAGCAGATGGAGAGGAGGATGGCCGAGATGACTGGCTCCCAGCAGCACAAGCAGGCCGGCAGCGGAGGCGGCAGCGGAGGCGGCAGCGGGAGTGGTGCCGGAGGGGGCCAGGCCCAGGTAGGCCCCGCCATTGGCGGTTTCTGTTTGCTTGTCTTTCATCCATGCACGAGGCAGCTGGCCCCAGAGGCCTCCCCTGCTGCTATGACGTCATTCAGAGATTGGAGTAGAGTGTCCAGAGACCTGCTTCATGGTACCTGTGCTCAGTCTGTGCAGTGTTGAAGACACCTCGGTGCAGGGCTCTTGTTCACCACCCCAGGTTTCTGCCGTCCTTCTGGTCTCAGGTCTCACTGTGTTCCCTGGCAGCGGAAGGAGCCGCCAATGGCTGACGCACGTCTGCTGGGACTCCGAAGTAAACCAGTCTCTCTACTTCATACTTTGTGTCGTATCCCTGCCTTAAGAAATACAGAGCATAACTTAATTCAACAGTTCTTAAGCCTTTCCCAGCCCCCAGAACATGAACTCAGGACATAGCTCCTGGAGTCTTCCTCAGTGAGGGGCAGCCCCCCGCCAGACTGTCCTCTCATCTCTGACACGTGCGTCTCCCTTCCTTTCAGAGTTCTATGTTCGTCATTTTTATTAGCCTGTGTGTACCTGACAGTCATACGGAGATCCGGGCCTCTCCTCGCACCCTGGTTCCATGGGTTGAACTCAGGGTGTCAGGACAGATGGCAATCACCTCTATCTACTGAGCCGTCACTGTCCACCCAGCCTCGTGTGCATTGTTTTCATGTGCAGCACAAAGAATTCATCACATGACCAAGTATCGCTTTCAAACTATTGTTCCTGTCGCTTCTCCGGACCTTCCGTCTAGGAGCTTTATCTTGAGAAAGTCTGAGGATAAACTGTTTCTCAATCTCCATCCCCAAGATTGAGATGGAGGACCGGATGGTATTTCTTGCCTTCACTACCAAGTTCTTTCCAGAGAGCCTCCTGAGGGAGCCCCTTCTTGCCCTTCAATGTGAAGGCTGGTTTCTCTTTGCAGAGTTCTCTTTCTCTCCCATACCTCTCTTTTTGGTTTTGAGATAGGGTCTCCCCACATAGCCCTGGCTGGCCTGGACCTTACTGTGTAGACCATGGTAGCCTCGAGTTCATGGACATTTGCCTCCTCTGTCTCTGAAGTGCCAGGATCAAAAGTGTGCATCACCACCATGTCCAGCAGGATTTCCTCTTTTTAAGTACATTTGTTTTTGGTTTGGAAACCTTGTAAATATGAAGCACTAGCAATATTTTAATTTACTTTTATTTTATGTGCGTGGGTGTTTTGCCTGGGTGTATGCGTATGCATGCACCATGTGCATGCACCGCCTCAAGAGACCAGAAGAGGGCACCAGATCCTCTTGGAGCTGGACTTAGAAATGGTTGTGAGACGTCATCATATGGGTTCTGGGAATTGAACCCTGGTCCTCTACAAGAGCATCAGTCAGTGCTCTTAACTGCTGAGCCATCTCTCCAGCCCCAGTGTTTCCAATATTAACAACAGGTGAAAGCAGAGCGTAATATCAGTGCCCATGCTGATCTCAGATCTTCTTCCAACTTCTCCTGTCTTACACATGGTAAAACTATTATTAAGACTGGACTAGAACTCAGGGGATCTTCATGCCTCCGCCTCCCAAGTAATGGGATTAACCACTACAAAGATAGCTTTCATTTTCACCTGAAACTGCTAAGTTTTGTAAGCCAAGTCATCTTTGTGGAGTTGACCTGAGGACCAGATAAGAAGTTCCCATGAAAACCTTTAGACACACAAACACTGGGTAAAGGGGGCAGCATATCACATTTCAAGCTTAGCCGTATGGCAAGCTTTGATCCAGTGTACAGCTACCATGGGATATGCTTGTTGATTTACATTGTCTGTCCAGTAGATGGTGGTATCAACCACACAATGACAGAGTCAGGGCTGTTTGTGTTTAATTGGCAACGTTCCCTGTCTATTCACTGCTTGATTAGTTCCATGTCTCCGTACAGTTGTCTGACTGGCGTATATAGAACAGCCTTTCTGCCTGGGTCAAGGTCAGTCTGCTGTGTTGGACGGCCCAGCCATCTTCTCTGCGATGATTTGACAACTCTGGTTGAGAATGATATTGCATCTGTCAGCTGCCCTTATAATTTTTGGAAACATGTTTTCCATATTTAAAAATAAAGAGTGATGAGGAGCAATGTTATTTTTGTACTAATTGGATTATATGGAATTTATTGCCAGAAAAAAAAATGCTTTTCCAGTAATACCAGAGATGGAAATTAGGCTAGAAGTGCCTGCCGCTTGGCTGAGTGTGCGTTGAGCATAGGACTGCTGTTGCGGTTATCAGCTTTGATTTTATCCCTCTCCTGTGTGGCCAGCATTGGTGAACTGATCTCCTGTGGGCTCACGTGATTAGTAACCCCAATGGCTCATGTCTGTCATGCTCCCCAAGTATCCCTTTTCACTTTGTAAAGACTTTGAAAAATTGAAGGCTGGAGAGATGGCTCAGTGGTTAGGAGGCTGGCTGCTCTTGCAGAGGATCTGAGTTTGAATCTCAGCACCCAGTGGGCGGCTCACAGCAGTAACTCCAGTTCATGTGGCCTCTGTGGACACCTGGCACATACGTGGTGTGTGCAGGCAAAACATTCAAACACTTAAAATTTCTTTTTAAAAAGTAAAAAAAAAAAAAAAGGTCTTGGATAGTTTTAAGCATTTTTTGAAGGAAAAAACCCATTAAGGTGACTTAACTCGTCTTCAAAAGAAGCAAGAATCAACTGTCAGTGTGAGACCTATCTGTCACAGTCACTGTAACTACTAGAGTGATGGGGAGTCTGCGGTATCTCAGCTTCACAGAAGTGCTGTTTCCTTGTTGCTTATTCTTTTTGTAAAATGATAATTTTTACTTTTATGTCTCAGTCTAAACAAAATTCTTGTAAAAATTTAAAATTTAAAAATTTCAGTAAAATAGAACATATATATATCTATATATATCCAATTCATAATTGCCCATATGAAGTTACAGATTTTAAGATCATGATATAATTACTTTATCTCCCTCACATGAAGTTACAGTTTTTAGGTCATGATATAATTACTTTATTTTGCCCTCCCCTCCCTCCCTCCATGTTCTCCCATGTACTGCTGCAAATTCTCTTTCTAATTCATGGCCTCTTTTTTCATTAATTGTTGTTACATATATGCATATTCCTAAATACAGCCTGCTCGGTTTATATCATGTTATCTTGTGTTCGGGGCTGACCATTTAGCCAATTAGTGTGCACTTCCCTGGGAAAGACTGTGTCCCCACTCTCAGCATCCCTCACTTGCTGAAGTTCTTTGTGTAGCGTTGGGGCCTGTGGCATGTCTATTACATTTCTTTAAAAAAAATTATTGGGGCCTGGCAAGATGGCTAAGCAGGTTAGACATCATATTGCTCTTACAGTTCCCAGAGCCCTGTCAGCCTCACCTTGTAGCCTCCTTAGGCACACGCCTGAATTCATGCACACATTCAGTGTGCACTTCCCTGGGAAAGACTGTGTCCCCACTCTCAGCATCCCTCAGTTGCTGAAGTTCTTTGTGTAGGGTTGGGGCCTGTGGCATGTCTATTATATTTCTTTAAAAAAAAAATTATTGGGGCCTGGCAAGATGGCTGAGCAGGTTAGACATCATATTGCTCTTACAGTTCCCAGAGCCCTGTTGTGTGTGTGTGTGTCTGTCTCTGTGTGTGTGTGTCTGTGTGTGTGTGTCTCTCTGTGTGTGTCTGTCTGTCTGTTTCTGTGTGTGTGTGTATCTCTCTCTCTGCGTGTGTGTGTCTGTGTGTGTGTGTCTCTCTGTGTCTGTCTGTTTCTGTGTGTGTGTGTATCTCTCTCTCTGTGCGTGTCTGTCTGTGTGTGTGTGTCTGTCTGTCTCTCTGTGTGTTTGTGTGTGTGTGTGTGTCTGTGTGTCTGTGTGTGTGTGTGTCTGTGTGTGTGTGTCTCTCTGTGTCTGTCTGTTTCTGTGTGTGTGTGTATCTCTCTCTCTGTGCGTGTCTGTGTGTGTGTGTCTGTCTGTCTGTCTGTCTGTCTGTCTGTCTGTCTGTCTGTCTGTCTGTCTGTCTGTCTGTCTGTCTGTCTGTCTGTCTGTCTGTCTGTCTGTCTGTCTGTCTGTCTGTCTGTCTGTCTGTCTGTCTGTCTGTCTGTCTGTCTGTCTGTCTGTCTGTCTGTCTGTGTGTGTGTGTATCTCTCTCTCTGTGCGTGTCTGTCTGTGGGTGTGTGTGTGTCTGTCTGTCTGTCTGTCTGTGTGTGTCTCTGTGTGTGTGTGTCTGTCTCTGTCTCTCTCTCTGTCTCTGTCTCTCTGTGTGTGTGTGTCTGTCTCTCTGTGTGTGTGTCTGTCTCTCTCTCTCTCTCTCTCTCTCTCTGTCT